CATTCATGAGTCAGTTAAAAGGTCCTGGCAAGGAGGAAAGGTGGGCCTTCCCCGGAATTGCTGCAAGGATGACAGACAGCCATGTTGATGGTTTGGGGTTTCCCACCGTGGCATAATGGTGCACACCTTTAATCCCAGAACTCAGGAGGCAGAGGCAGGTGGATCTCTGTGAGTTTGAGGCCAGCCTGGACTACAGAATGAGTTCCGGAACAGCTGGGGCTGTTATATCAAGAAATCCTGTCTTGAAAAACTAAAAAAAGAATAAAAAAGGAAGTGTTTTCCCTCATGTTGGACATTTAGTCAGGGCCATTGATTGGGAAGAGCAAGTGCTATCTGGGATTGGAGGTTCCTTGGCCACGACACAGCCACCCCCCTCACATTTCTTGTAAGGACTAGACCAAGTGGTCCCAAAATCTTTTGCAAAGCTGACTTCCTGTCATTCTGTGTAGTCAAGTTATGCAGTAGGGGACTAGGGATTGGCCTCAGACATCAGTAACTGTAAGATCACTGTAGCTGTTACAGTAAAACCTCTTAGTAAGTTTTTCTGTTAAAAAATAGGATGAGAGGTTCACTTCAGCTTTGCTTTCTATGAATGAGTCCCGTTGCTGAGAGGCGTGTTGCAATTCTCTTGCTTTTCTCATGTTTCCTTGCTCATTGGCGAGTGGCTGGATGACAGCATCAGACTCGACACCCTCTTCCCTTTCCACGGTGCTCATCAGCATATGTTGACCCAGTGACTCACATCACCAGGGTAAATGGCTGTTCGGGAAGTCTTCCAGGAGACAGTGAGAGCCATCGCTTCAGTAGCTTGAGTTCTCTAGTTGCAGCAGAAGGCTTTACATGACAACAGCTGCAAGAGACGGGTGGGTGGCTTAACCTTGACCCTTCAAACAGGTCTTCTGTTGGAAGTGCTTTGACTTTCCACAGTAAAGGAGTTATTTCGGAAAGAGAAAGGAGAAAAAATTAAAGTGAGACTCTTGTAAACCCATGTTTATTTGGCTTTCTAGCTTTTGGTCTTCATTGCTATCATATTTTGAGTGCACACACTCCGCTGTTACCACTGATATTTGCAGAACCTTAGCTTTAAGGGCTGTATTAGCCACACCACACAGTGGCTCACTTTATAGTTCAGTTCGTGTCATCAAAAGACATACTGAGTTCCTCTCTGATTTAACCCTTAAAATAGAACTCCAAAGAAATAGCTTAATATTTACTATAAAGATTTTTAATTTAATATATTTATGATTGTGTGAGAGAGAGAGAGAGATGGGGGAGGTGGACTTGCCACAGTGAACACTAGGAAGTCGGGACAACTTCCTTGGAGTCAGTTGTCTCCCTCTACCTTTGTATGTTCCAGGCATGCGTCATCATGTCCATGTGACCTGCATCATCAAACAGCGAACACCTTACCCTGAGCCCTCTTTCGGGCTCCTGAAGACTGTATGGTCATCATTCGAAAGTCTGAGTTCTAAAGTGTCCTCCACGCTTTCCTCGCCGTGTCTAGGGTTCAGCCCCTTACCTTGCATGTGAGGATAATTATGGTGCAGAGCTCATAGGGTGGTTGTGAGGATTTCATACAATAGTAGACATAAAGTTCTTAGCACAATATCTGACATGAGTACTTACTAAATATGGGCTGTTGTACATTTAGTAATAAATTAGATGACTTCACCTAAACTTAATAGGGCTCATATCACAGCCGATGGCATTGGAGATGACTCAGTTCCTAATAAAGCTGAAAAAGAGGGTTCAGTGTTGCCTAATAATCCAGTCGTAGTTAATGAAGTTGAACCACACTTATTAAAAAATAATGAGGAATATTTAAACTTGAATTACAAAGTGCATCCTATCCAGCAAATTTTTAATATCTCAGGACTAAATGTTGTTAGTTCTTGGTAGAAGCAGAGAAGTTATTGTATAGGTTACTGCGTGTTTGAGATATCTGCCCAGAGAACCCTGCAGATAACTGTGCTCTACCTTCTGGGATGAGGTCATCTCTGAGAGGCCCTCAGCAACTATTCCACATGGGTGGAGTTCCACAGGAAGGGATGCTCGTGGTGATATCTGCTCTCAGGTGACCAGTGAGTGTAGAATTGGATGATGCTGGCTCATGCCGAACTTCTGCCATCTTTGTGATGTGACCTTGATTTGGGCTGCTTAGCTTTTCAGAACCTTCTTTCCCTGTGTGGAGAGGAGAGCTACAGTGTAACTTCATAGGGGAGGGTTAGTTTGAAAACATACATGAATGTGCTACAAACAAAATAGCATTGTAAAACTCATTCTTCCTGATCCTGTTGGCATCTGGTGAAGGAAGAGTAGTGTGAGCTGTGATGACCAGGACGCTGTCAACTCTAGTACAAGGCACACGTCACCTGGATGACGTGCTCCACCTCTCTCCTTCGTAAAAATTTCTTATCCCATCACAGGTCATGCGTGTTTCTCAGCAGTGCTACTAAGCTGGTGACAAAACAATTAATGCAAGCTTCTGTTGTATTTTGTTGGCCTTGAGGTGAATAAATGGACAAAGATAAAAACTAGTTAGGTTCTAAGCCAATTCAAATCCTCATTCCGTGTGCTAACCTGTTGATATTGGGACGGCGGCAGGGCTGCGTCCCCGGCACCCGGCCGCCCGCATGGCTAGAAATACCCAGAAATAATTACACGGAAACTGTATTCTTTCAAACACTGTCTGGCCCGGCTAGGTCCAGTTTCTTATTGGCTAGCTCTTACATATTGTTCTAACCCATTTCTAATATTCTGTGTAGCCCACGAGCTGGCTTACCAGGGAGGATCTTAACCTGCGTCTGTCTGGAGCGGGAGCATCATGGCGACTCTTCCTCTAACCTTCTTTCTCCCAGAATTCTCTTCTGTATACTCCGCCTACCTAATTTTCTATCCAATAAAATGGGCCAAGGCAGTTTCTTTATTAATAAGAAACTATTCCCACATCACTAACCTATTAACTTATTACACCTGGGTAGCTTGCTGTTGCACATAGGGCAGCAGGCCTCGGAGGCCTTGGTGAACTGGTCTGTGTGTGCCCTGTTCACATGTTTCTCCACTTCTCTGCTCAACTTCTCATGTCTGTAGAGTACCTCCCCTTTCTGGGCTAGCCTTTTTCCCTACCAGATCACTTCCCGTTAATTCTCCAACCTCAGTATCTCTTCTACCATAAAATGCCCCGAAGGTAAACAGTCACCCTCTTCTTCACTCTATGTCTCTCACATCAGAATATTTAGCTCTACAGCTCACTCTTGTCCCTAGACCGTGCCCAACTAGGCTATTAGCTATTCAAGTATAGGAGCCATGTTGGATTCACCCTTGACGGCCATGAAGGAGCAGAGCAGGTGTGTGAGTGGGTGTCCGATAAACGTTTCTAAATACTGCCGTGCAGCTGAGTGGCTCACTTACATTACTTTGTAAAGCTTGGAACTCCACCCAAAACTTAAATATATTCCAAATCACTAAAACGAAGTAGCCTTTCGGGCCTGGGAGATAGCTTAGTAGGTAAGGCACTGCTGCCACAGCTTTTTGGCCTGAATTTGACTCCAGGACCTACATAGTGGAAGAAGAGAATGGGCTTCTATAACTTGTCTTCTGACCTTCACACATGCCTTGTAGTAGGTGTGTGCACGTGCACACACAAAATAAATGTAAGAATAAAATATAGTAGTCTTTATTCTGTAATATTATTATTATTATCAGAGCCTTGTTGCCTGCAAGACTAAGTATTCTACCTTTGCAGTCCACCCTCAGCCTTTCTAAGTTAAAATTATTTTGGCTTGGCACATCTAGCCCTCCAAAATATGCTAGTGAGACCTGCTTCATAGAAAACCATGGAATTCACAAGCCATAATATGTGCTTTAATGCAGAGATTAACAGTATGACCCTTAGATTAAACTGCTTTGCTCCCTTTTGACACTTGTTTAAGTTTGCATAATAAACAATAGCCATTCTGTTAGTCAATAGTAAACTAGTCTATATGAGGATATTCACATGAGTATAACTAAAAAAGTCATTGCCATTATTGTTCACATAGTGTACATTCTGATGCCATATTCACAACTGTGGAGTAAGAGCAAAGACTAAAGACAGAAGGGACTGTTCATGGGTGAAAACAACAGCCCTTGGTCTCTCTGTCCCCTTTTCTTTCTCACATGCACACACACATTCAGACTCTGAAATTTCAAAGTCTCAAACAGTGCATTATTAAAAATATGAAGTGCTTTTCCTTATGTAAATCCCAATGAAGCTGAGAAATAGAGGAAGAACTCAGACACATCGTCGTCCGCTCTCTCAAGTGAAGCCTGTTGTGTTGATTCCCAACTCAAAAGCGTACCTTTAAAGCAAGCTAAATGCTTGTATCCTTCCTCACTGACAAGAGCCTCAAACTGTTCCCTGTCATGGAAGAAAACAAATCTTTTGCTCATTTCTGCCTGGGGGAGGCAGAGGGACGGAGGTGGTCCTGTGTGGCTGGATTAGATGAAAGACTTCCCTTCCACCATGGAGACAGAGTCTAATCAACTGAAATGAGTTTTGAGATCGCAGCTCATTTCCTAGGGGAGATCAGTTCACATTACAAAATCACGACACCTCATTCATCACAGCCGACGTGGTCTTTGCTCAGGAGAGGACCCCAACTGGGACTGAACCACCTGTCTTCTCTCAAAAAGGGACACTTTACCCAAGCTAGAGCGGAAGGCCTTGAATGAGAACATTTGCCAACCTTCAGGTTCCACCCGTGTGGGGCGTTTGAAACAGGAACGGGGATTTAGATTTGAATGGAGGACAGGTGAATTTAAGGAGAATTGGGTGGTTGTAACTTTAATGTTGTCTAATAGAAATAACCATTAAGGCGGAATTAATTGATGGTGGGAGAGCCGTCTTTCTCTTCTCAGTTTGTTAAACAGCAGTGGAATGACCAGCATTCCCACCAAAAATGGGGGGAAGTATGCTTCCTAGGCCAGCAAGTGACCGTTCTGTCTTTCATTTCTTCCAGGGCATTGTTGTAACACCACTGCTACTGCTGCTTTTCGTGAGTATTTTGATGATGCCTTCCATATCTTTTATTGATGTATTTTATTAGCTACCATCTCCTGGACTACAGATGTGGCTGGTAGTTGATGGCTTTTCTAGCATGCACAAGGCCTTTCCTGTATTTGCATCCTAGCACCATGAGGGAAAAAAGACCCCTCCCCTCACACACACACACACACACACACACACACACATGCCTTCTTCAGACCTTCAAGGTCAGTCTTCAGAAGAACACTGAAAACTAGATTCTTCTGTATAACTTGATGACCCATTTGAGCCCCCTCCCAGCGGAGCCCAGAGTATTAACCCTGAGACTCAGAAAATCCCACAGCCTTGCGGTCCAAGGACAGCATCTGGTCCTAGTGATTAGGCCTCCTGCTCCTGGATAAATCATTAATTATCATAAACCAGTGACCTATGGCCTGAATTACACATGTACTGCTTGTCGTTTTTTCTTGTAAAGCTAAGTGATTAATAGTGATGTGGTGTTGGTTGGTTTTTGAGAAAAAGAACCTCGAGCTAGGAGACCTAAGGCAGCTGAGACCCCAAAGCTGGTGTTTGCTACAACTCTCTCCCTAACCCTGGGAATACTCCCACGATGGTCCCATTTGTAAAATGGAAAGCAGAAACTTCTAATGCAGCCTGCCTCTTCAGGACAACAAAACATGCCACAAGGGGAAAGGTCAACACGAGAAGTAGACACAGGCCACCGAGTAACTCAGCCAAAGTCTGAGAACAAGGGATGCTAATTAACTGTCTTACTTCCTTTGGCACTAAGCATATGAGAAATTAGATGAAAGATTATAATAGAAATTAATGTTGTCTCATGCTGAGCAAAGCATATGTAATCATAAATGATACCTAAAATATTTTATGAACTGTGCAGTTTTTCCACACACATCTTCCACATATAAATCACTCCACTTATCTCGGAAATGTAGTGGGGATGCGTGTCTGGGAATGAAATGAAGCTGTTTGACTAGCACTATTTGTCAGTGAATTAAAACTATGGGGAAAATTTATTTAATTATAGTATAATTACCCAAGTTGAAATTCAATTAGAGTAATAGAGTGAGGGACTTTCATTCCTTACCAGCTGTGTAGGAAGGAGAAAAGGCTAGATATACTATCAAACAGTTGGATTCTGCATCTTTCATGAAAGCCATTACCTTCAGAGTAATAAGCCACAGCCTCACCTTGCCTTCTGAAATGCCGGCTCCACTCTGCCAAGGTCAGAAGAGTCAAATCACTTCCCTCAGCAGGATGAACCTCATGCATTTGGGCTCTTGCAATTCAGAATGGGCAAGAGTCAAATTATTTGCTTTGTTGAGTGCCTACCAGCACATTAGATGTGAGGAATTGAAATTATCCAGTAGTGTGTTTGACCAAGATCTGGCATCCCAAGGGAAACTTACCTGAGCCCTCTGCAGGTACAAAATGCAGGCTAGTCTGAGGCCACGGGACGGGTATAGCACCCAGCACCTAGACTTTGTGCAATTATAGGCTGAATAGCTGAGGTCTTGTAGCTTACCAAATGTGCAGCCCTTATTCCTGTAACAGTCAAGAAGAGCTGGCGGGGGTCGGGGGTGTCAATGGTAAAGTGCTTGCCAGGCAAGCCTGAGGACCCCAGTGTGAGTCCCAGAACCCCTGTGAGAAGCAGGAGATGAAGACACAGGTAATCTCAGTACCAGGAAGGCACACCCCAAACCTCACTGGCCGACCAACCTGGCCAAACCAGGGAGCTTTGGGAGAATAGCAAGATCCTGTTAAGATAGAGCACAACCAGGAAGGTAAGGTTGACCTTTGGCCTCCATAGTGTGCATCCACACGCGTGCACAGAGTGTGGGGTAGAGTTTCAGCCACAATTAGGTGGTTGGGACCGGGAATGAGCTGTGCCCTGTTTTGATTAAAAACCCAAAGGAGAACCCGCGCCCACCTTCCTTTCTGTCTGCGTGTCATAATAAGACATTGTCTCACTGATAAGTGGGGGTTTTTTAATTGTTTTTTTTTTTGAGCTATATATTTTTCTCTGCTCCCCTCCCTCCTCCCCACTCTCCACTTCCCTTCTACCCTCATCCATGATCCCCACACTCCCAAGCTCCCAATTTACTCAGGAGATCGTGTCTTTTTCTACTTCCCATGTAGATTAGATGCTGATGAGTGTTTTAACATCACATTATTTCAAGCTTTCCTCCACTCGGAACTGTGGGCTTGTAGAACTTTAGCTGGTTTGACATTTCCACAGGGCGCAAGCAGAAGCCCATGCTTCCCTTCGGAGCAGTGGGCTCTCCCTGTTGGTTCGAAGCCATCATCCCGCATCAGTAGCTCCCCCTGTGTCTCATGGCTTTTCTCTCATTTCCGTGGTGCACATTCCTTTTGTCTGCGTGGCTGTCATACACTTTGTAATGAGAATTTATAAAACACTTGGATTCCAAGTCTTATTTACTGAGCTGAACAAATACTTGAGAGACTTAAAATACAAACACATCCCAGAAAAGCTATGTATTCTTCCTTCCACCTCGATTAGGGGCTGAGTGCTGCTCTCAGGGAGATTTGTTGAAGTCCTCGCCTTCAGCATACTCAGAAGTGGCCTTCTTTGAAAGCAGGTGTTGCAAATGTAATTAGCTCAGATAAGGTCTTAGGGGGAAGAGGGTGGAGCCCTGAATCCAGTGTGGCTAGTGTCCTCAGGAAACAGACAGAGACACACAGGGTGAACCCCATGTGACAATGGAGGCCAGATCAGAGTGCAACATCTGCCAGCCAAAGGAACACCAGGGACTGCTGGTAGCCTTTGAGACAGAGGATGTTTCTAGACACGTTTCTAAGGAAACATGGCTGCACTTGATTTCAGAGCCACAGCCATGAGGTAGCATTTCTCTTGGTTCAAGCTGCCTAGCTTGTGGACTGTTAAAGAACCCAACAAACTAATAGGAGCCCTGGAAATCACTTAGCATATTTAAAGGTGAAAGCACTTGGTATTTTTCTGGTGAGATCTCAGCCCCTGTGTTATTGCCTCTCAGAATACCCCCTTCACTGTTAACCCCTTCACTGTCTAGCTCCTCTCAGTCATGTTTCTGCTGCAGACTTTTCCTGCCATGGAGCCTTGCAGTGGAGGAAAGCGTCATTCTTTTTTTTTTTTCTTTTTTCTTTTGTTTATTTTTTTTTTAGTTGTTGAAAAAAAAATTTCCGCCTCCTCCCCATTTCCCATTTCCCTCCCCCTCCTCCCACACATTGCCCCCTCTCCCTCCCCCCACTCCATTCCCCCTCCCTCTGGAGGATGAAGAGCAGTCCAGATTCCCTGCCCTGCGGGAAGTCCAAGGTCCTCCCACTTCTATCCAGGTCCAAGAGGGTGAGCATCCAAACGGGCTAGGCTCCCACAAAGCCAGTTAGTTCATGTATTAGGATCAAAACCTAGTGCCATTGTCCTTGGCTTCTCATCAGCCTTCATTGTCCACCACATTCAGAAAATCCGGTTTCATCCCATGCTTATTCAGTCCCAGTCCCGCTTGCCTTGGTGAGCTCCCAATAGATCAATTCCACTGTCACAGCGGGTGGGTGCACCCCTCGTGGTCCTGACTTCCTTGCTCATGTTCCCCCTCCTTCTGCTCCTCATTTGGATCTTAGGAGCTCAGTCCGGTGCTCCTATTTGGGTCTCTGTCTCTATCTCGATCCATCTCCAGATGAAGATTCTGAGGTGATATGCAAGATATTCATCAGTATGGCTATAGGGTAGGGTCATTTCAGGTTCCCTCTCCTCAGTTGCCCAAGGTACTATCTGGGGACATCTCCCTGGACACCTGCGAGCCCCTCTAGAGTCAAGTCTCTTGCCAACCCTAAGGTGGCTCCCTTAATTAGGATATATATTTCTCTGCTCCCGTGTCCACCCTTCCTTTATCCCAACCATCCCATTCCCCCAAGCTCCCCCAGTCCTCCCCTTCTCACGTTTATCACCCCAGTTCCCCTTAGCCCCATGCCACCTCACCCCCAAGTTCCCAGTTTTATCCTAGAGAAGCTAAATAAGAAGGTGAACCCAAAGAAAAACATATAGTCATCCGCCTGGATATGGGAAGTAGACAAGGAAAGCGTCATTCTTAGACCCTATCGCTTGTTCCACGTTACTTCCCCCGTCTTCTGTGTAATTGTTTACTTCCTTTGGAGGCTGTACCATATATCCACTCTGTCTGCTCTTCCTCCTTGTTACAGCTTTAGAACCCCAAGTTTTCCAACATGCATGGCATATGCCCAACTCCAAAATTCTTCAAACTTCTAGTTTCCCAACCTGTCATTTTTCCAGTGCCCCTGGCTGTGCCCGCCCTGCATTCCTCCTTCACTCTCACATCTCATGCCCTCTTAGCCCGTGCCCTCTGGGTATAATTCCTCTATTGCAGACCACATTGGCAATCTTGTTCATCCCCCTTACTGCTCCATATTTGCCACAATTCATCAGTCCTATTGGCGGCCAGCTCTGCACCTCTTTGCCCATGTACCCAAACGTGCTGGAGCATCTTCAGTGTCTTAAGTGCTCTGCTCCTACATGAGTTCATGACGACGACTGTCAGTGGGCCGACAGTTCGGGTCTGCCCTGCTGCTTTCCCTCTTTGACTCTGGAGAATGGGTTCACATTTTCTTCTTAGTGGCTCGTATCTCTAATGTCTCTCCTCCTATCAGCTAATGCAGAAAGGAGGTTAGATGAGAGGAGAAACAGAAATTTACACCCCACCTACACCTGTCACCATAGTCCTTGTATTTCTGCTGGGCTTGTGGGTGGACAGTCTTTGCTTCTACCTGAGTCCAGTCCTCCTCTTGTTTGCTCAAGGTCATAGCTCATGTGCATTTTCTCTTTTCTCCTATATTAACAATTTTTCTCTTATGTAATCATTTCTATTAATGTATTCTATTATATATGTGTATATATATCTTAAATTTTAAACTCCACCTTGTCCCACTTGCACTCTATCTTGTGTTTACATAATAAATGTATTTAAATCTGTTCATTCC